GCCCAGTAGCCCCAGACTAACCATCCCTGCACTGACTACGGTGGGGAAAGGGTTGTTCAGACGTAGCACTGTGTAACGGCTTATACAAATCTTGAGTTTTTAGTCAGAATTTAAGTAGTAGCAGGTGATTTGAAACTAGATCTTGAAAATGAGATCCTGACCTTTGACAATCTTACATTGCTATCCATAGCCCAAAAATAAAAAAAAAAAAAGGAAAAGAAAAAGAAAAGAAACAAACCCTTTTTTTAATCCAGTAGAAGAGACCTACGGAGAAACAAATTAGGAAGGAAATGTTTTAAGGTATGGTTGATACAGCACACGAGCAGTAAAATGTGTGCTGCTTGGGGCCAATTACAAAATATTCAAGTTAAGTATGTTAGACTGACAAAAAATTAGATGAAGTAGAAAATGAATGATAGGAAGTAAGTATTTTATTTCTAAAAATTAACTCTCTTGCAGGCATACTCATATTTCACTTTCACACTGATGCACTGCACCAGTAGCTTCCAGCAGCAAATGACAGAGTACATCTCATACAAAAGAATGCTACACTTCAGCTATTTCTTTAAAAGAAGAGATTGTATAAATATTATGCCATTGTAAATTTAACAGTTATCAAGACAGCGCCAGATGTAGATTTATCCTAGAGGATTTTATGTGTTTTGCAGCAGCATGTCTCATAAAAACGGCAATAAATATGCTAATTTTTAATGTCTTTATACTTTAGTTCCACACTTTATCAACTTATAAAACAAAGATTAAACGTATATGGATATCATACTCTTGGATATTGCTTCCAAAAGTGATATAATAAGAAGAATATCAAGATTAATATTTCAATAAAGGGTGAACAATTATTTTTTATTTGTTATTTGGAATGGCTAAGTCTTTGGCCAATAGATGCTATTATCAAGGGACATTAGTGGAATTAGTTTGATATGATGTTTTCACCTTCACTTTAATCTTTTGGCAGTAGTCATTCTGTATCTTCTACAGAGAGGTTTGCATGAAGACATTTGGCATTCATGTTTAATGCTGGGAAATATTGATTCAGAGGCAGAAGGCTAAAAAGTGACAGAATATTTAACAGAGGTGGAAGGGTGATGAGCAGAGGTATTCTATTTATCTTTATAATTATCAGCCATCTGAGGAGACAAATAAAACTTTGATCTTTCAGGTGAACAGAAATGCAAAGCATTAGAGGGATGTGATTAATACTCTCCAAACAATTTCACAAACAGGTGGCAGGGAATATCTGGCATTTTCTTCACAAACCTTACCTGGGAAGGCCAAATTTTGCTTTTGGGAGGTCCACATTTTGCAACAAAAAGACTGTGCCTAATTTGCATATTTATTACGTATCTCCTTAAAAATAAGTCTGTGCAAACATATTTGCTTGTACTTCTTATGTCTTGATAAATGAATAGAACTTATTTGTTGAATGAACTCACCAGTAATTAAATCCAAGATCAGGGCCTTCATAATGCTATTTTTATAGAAAGAATGTCCATGACGCGATTCAGAAATCACAGTATACGGCAGCATAAATTACGGTTTCCAGGCTTATTTCACTGGTGCGAGCAGAGGGATATGTGTGTTGTTTCTGCTGAGAGTAGTAATAGCTAATATGCACTCAGGAGAGACATAACCATCCCATGCGTGCTTGTCTGCCTTATTTTCTTCTCTGCTGGTTCAATCAGCAAAGCACAGCTTTCAACTGCAATCAAAACTTCTTTTTGGGTATAATAAACTACTGACAAGCAAAGGTCAAGCAAATAGCTTTTAGGGCTTCCAAATGCTGCCCCCAACAACATATTTAATCAGCACTTACTCCTGCCTGTACTTTGCCTTTCATAAAACCACTGCAGACATTGGGATACTGCTGGAGAATATAGGCCACAGAGCCTATGGATCCCTCATGTTATGCAAACTACCTAAAATTAAATTTCTACCATTTTTTCCTGGACCACAGCTTTCATGCCTTTGGAGACCCTGTTCCACTAAACACTATTTCAGAAGAGATTGCCTTATGATATAAGTGTAGCAAAGCCACAAGTAACCCAGTTGCAGAAATGGAGAGAGAGAAGGTTATCCCTAAGCTTACCTCTGGCCGGTGAATTAGATGTATTCTTAGTTTTAACTTCTGTACCTACAGGTTGCAATAGCTATACCTTTGTCAGAGAGAGAAACCCTGTAAAAAGGAGCATTAAACTCCAGTTTATAGCTACCTGCAAATTATGAGTATGGATTTCACTTCACAGTACATAAGTTTCTGTTTATTGACCTTACTCTTTCCTACATTCAAGAAAAAAACTCCCTGATCCCCTTTAAAGGTAGCCCTTTCCACCTGCCACAAGCACATTTAGGACCTTAATAATGTGGAAACAAACTAGTTCAATCCCACTTCAATAAGACAAGTGCATGGACTTGTCTTATTGGACACAGTTTAGCAACTTGTGTTTGACTAAAGCAAGTTTCTGTTCGATATAGGTAACACCTTTAAAAAAGGCAATTTGTCTTCAGCTGAATTCACCAATACAAAGAGAATTTACTGCTTCCTTTTGCAGTTTGATCCAGTGACTAACCGCTCCCTGTAGAGAGAAAAGTATAACCGTTTTTCTATTTTAATTGTTTTCTGTTATATTTTGATATATTTTGTTATAGCTTTGATTCGTGTCCTATCTGCTTTGCTAGATTAGAGAGCTCACTCTCCTCTGTTAAGCTGTATATGTGTATCAGAGTTACCTTATACATCAACCTTTTGTGCTAAATTAAATTTTGGCATCTCTTTTCTGAGACTGTTTCCAGCTTTCTACTTGCTGTTCATTAAAATATCCTCCTTAAGATGTATACATTTCAATATCAACCTCCCTTGTGCTGTATGCTTATTTTAAACCACACCCTCCAATCCTTGTTACTCTTTCTACATTTAAAAGTATACAAGCATTTCTTGTAACTGCATTTTCACAGGTGGTTTATGCTGAAATTTTTTTGTTCACTACAACTTCTAAATGCTCTCAGAGTCACTGTTTTCCAATTACACTGGCAAGACTGTATTCATTATTTCTAGATGCATAAGTATAGCAGTTGACATGCTTAATCATATTTTGTCTTAATGTGTCAGCTTTGCACAGCTTTTTTTTATTTTTTCATAAGTTTACTCATTCCTCAGCATTATTTGTTATGTTACCAGTTTTTTCCTCATCTGAAAATGTATTTCTTTAAATTTATGGTATTCACTAGAAAGAGTTCAATTTGCTAATAATTCCTCACTGTTAACTACTTTTGAGGTGCGCAGGTGCTGATTCTTAACCCAATGAACAAATGGTCTATTAATATTTAAGAGCATGAATTTCCAATTAAAGGGTTGTTTGCCATCAAAAAAGTAAAGTGCTTCCAAAGATATAACTATATTACTTTATGTAGTTAAGAGCATGATAAACCTGTGTTTCTCAGACTATCTGATCTTTATTGTATTTCATTTGATGTGGCTGATCACCTTAGCTGCTTGTGACCATTGCAGCTTAATCTCCGTGAGAATCATCTTTAACTCAATATCCTATGCATACAAGCACACCGGAGTTTGACAGCATTTGCTATGCTTTTGGAGGGTAATAAGTCTCTTGGACAGATTAGGTTCCATAATCCCAAATAACTCACATTAAAACTATGTATATCTTCCTCACATTAAGGATTGTGAGGTGCTGAGATTCTGGGGTATATGCAGCAGTGTATTAATGATTTGCTCTACTAAAAATTATGACTTTCCCAACAGAAAGAGCTTATCTTTACAACCTTCTTCATGAAACAATTATAAAAGTAGTACTAAATTAACATACAATGTCCTCCTGTTCTTTTGGGAACAAGTTGAATTGTATTTAGACTAGGGGGTTGTACTACTTTAGCTGCAGGCAATACATGTAAAGCAAAATTTTGGGCTGGGTGGATGCATGCGTGGTATAAGTGAATATGTAGGTGGATAGACAGAAGAAAAGGCTTGCATAAAGTTGTGCCCACTTCTCTATTGACCCCAGTGGCTGTCATGGGGAATTTCTCAAGGATTAACACGTGCCAGAATGTAAAGAAAATATCTGCAGCAAGTGTGTGAGAAGCCAGCATAAGCTCCTGAATACACTACTAACCTAAGCTCAGTTGAGCTCCTCATACCCAACTTTAGGAAGACACAGTATTGCCTCTTCCAAACTTCCCATAGAACTAAACTTCGAACCATTCAAGGATCCACTTAATGCAGAGATATCTTAAATAGCTCCACCAATAACCCCAGAAAAGGAGGTGCTCACATCTGCAAAGCTAACATGGCTTTTGATAGGTTTATGTAGCAAGCATGGACTTAGTGCAGAACTGAGTCTACAGGCAATTCCAGAAAGGCAAGCAGGGCACCGAGCGCACCTTGCAGCGTGCCGACTCCATGTCCACCAAAGTGTTAATAATGAAAGACGTTGTGGCTACAGTCAGCAAAAGCATGCAAGGTAAAGACTGAAGCAAGAGGCGACCAGTTTATACAGTGAATGTTGCAGAAAACACTTCTACCATGCAGAGAACTGCACAACCCTCTATACCCTCTAAATTTGACTCATAACTAGATGAACGGATGCTTAAGCAACCCAGTGAGGACTGTGAACAAGAACACTTCCACTGACTGCATTAAATCTCCATGAATCACACTTGGGAGAGGGTGTTTACATAATTATATGTATACATACAGTCTGCTTGCCAGATAATGCAGACTTTCAGGGAGAACCATATGAGGCATGTGTTAACATTTACTAGAGATGAGGCAATTTAAATTCCTGGCCCTCTTACTAATCATTCAACTCCACTTAAAAAAATAAAAAGTAACAGCTACACTTGAACAGTAATGCTACATGTTGGGAAGTGCTTCATTGTAGCTTGTAAAATCACCTTTGAAAGAGCAGAGTCTAAATGCAGACAAGAACACAGTCATGGATTTAAAGCATGCTTTTATTTTGAAAAGTACCTCTAAAAATGGCATCTTGCAGAGGTTCTATGTTCATTATGTCTCAGCTACTCCAGCTCAGCTTTACTTAAGTGTCAAGTAAAAAGATGTTTTCCTCACAGTTCCAAGCTCTGTAAACTCACCCTTATGACTGCCTTGACAGCAAGTCAACCTGTGTTGCTTCCTGCTAACATATCACTGCCAGTTCCACTGACCCAGTGGGGGAGCTGAATTATATATAAGTGTAAATAGGCACAGAAATTTATGAAGCATCTTTTGTTTTTAGCTCTGTCACTGGCCTATGTCCAAAATCAATCTGGAGCCTAGATAAAAGAGGAAGCGAAGTGACAGAGAAGAGGCTGTCATCACTAGTCAACACAAATAACAGTCATGAGAAGTGTTCAGTGAAAGATGCCAAGCTGGAGAGGGGATTCAGAGATACCAGGGATGAGGCAGGCCCACATCTGAGCATGACAATGCCAGGCTGAAGCTGCAGTTACAAGATCCTTCCTAGATGGGGAAAGACAGGCTGAAGAAGGCACAGCAAAATCACAAAGGAAAACACAGAGGATGAGAGGCAAGAATATCTTCGTGAATGGCAAACAATTGCCCTTGTTGACTGAATTCAACATGACATCAGTTCCCTCTCAGAGCCAGGTTTATACTTCAGGAAGATATGTCAGAAGGAAGGGTTTTTCTATGATCCCAGACAATTTAAGAGTACTGATGGATTACAACCAATCATCTGGATATCATTATACCATATATCCTTTAAGGTTACTATGACCTGGGCTACAACGGATGCTAAGGAAAAGAAAATCAAGCAATCTCATGGCCAATTCCAGAAGATGCCCAAAGACAGATAGTTTGGGGCTAACCAGAGACTGTTAGTTAGCTATCTAAATTATATAAAACTGGATAGGTCTTCTAAGTCATTTAAATGTGACTCCATTTGACTAAAAGCGAGTCTATTGTGACTACCTCAGACCTGTACATACACATTGTAGAAGCATATATAAAAATTTCACTTTTTATGTTATGCCAAGGTTAAAAATTCCCGTTCAAAGTCAAATTCCATTTAGACTCTTACACTATTCCTACATGAATAATATAAACCATGTCTGAACTGATTAGCTGCCCTGAGGACCATTGGCACAGAACAACCTATATCCATACTATTAAACTCTTTTAGCCTCCAAACTGAATGGTCCATCCAAACTGCCTTTTGCAAATAGTTCCTGGTGCATGCTGACTTCCAGATCAGGCCTAGGAATTATCTGGAAGAACACTATTTGGCCTAAGCCAAGTTCAAGTCAAGGACCTTGCTAAAATGTCACAGTATGGACAAAAATGTTCCCGGGGTCATTCCCATTTGCTGTTACTGTTCAATTTATTAGTACAGATGTGCCCTTAATATCTGAAACCTAGGCCATCAGTCTTTCAAAACCCTTTATTCTGAGACCGCATATCATCTTTATCTCTTCGTTCTACCCTTCCTCCCATTACCCCCCTCCTCCCCCGGATAAAAGTCTGGCAATGCACATAGAGCAAGCTTGTACTTGGCTCCTTATATAGTTAGAATGGGCCACCCTAAGTGTCATTTACTTTAAGTATAGCATGTCATGACCAGCTGTTTTAGTTGCAAATTTGCTTGATTTCCTTGCCAAGTACATTTGCCCTTGGACAACACCTAGTCTTCAATCTTGCCAGTACTCACCTGCCACTTCATGAGCTGTCAAATGACTTCTCAAGCACTAAAAAATAAAGTCTCTGAAGAGTTTTAATTTAAGTATTAGCAGGCAGCTTAAAATTAATGGCAAACAATGCCTACCTGTGGCTAGGCAAAAGACAAGGAAAATTAACACTTCCCTAACTGTCAGGTAAGGCTGTCTGAAGAGTTTCCTACCTCCCCTTCACAGACTTTCTAAACTTAATGAGGAGTCTGATAGCATCTGATTTAGTTAAAGACTAGAGAGCAAGGCTGCAAGGACACCGGCAGTATTTAGCAAGTTCTTATAGACACCGCTGTATGCCTGAAGATGTGGCTCTCTTCTGTAGCAAGCTGTTTAAGAAGTCTTTTCTGTCTTCCTCCGGTCGTCATGTTTCACTGCAGTTCACCACTCTGCCGGTTGAGGCCATTGAAATGATCTAGTTTAAGAATAATCCTAAAACAAACAAACAAAAAACCCAGCAAAATTAGAAACAAATAACAGAAAAACAAAAGAAAAGAAAAAAATAAAAATCCAAAACAAAATCTATCCATTCTCAGCTCTCCTAATAATGGGTATTTATGAGACAGAGAATTCCTATGTGCTATTTTACTGGTTATGTTGTCTAAAAATGTATTGTTTACGGTTTATTTTCTCCTTCTACATCATAAAAAACAATACAAGTTATGAGAAAATATTTCTATGTTTCTGTTCTTCATTGGACTTACTTAATACAAAGTTACAGTCAGAACAACATCAAAGCAAAGGTAAAAAAACAAGTGAAAATATGTTGTCCTGTTGTTTTCCTTTCTTCTTCTGTTTAAATTAAGTGATAGCTCAATCCTGCTAAAATGAACAACATCACTTAGCAGCATGCGCAATGACAAGCTAAAAGCTTTTAATTAGACTCTTACTCAGTAGGGGTGAAAATATAATTTAAAAGACTCAGGGCAAAAGCTGAACTGTTAGTTTTATATTTTAACACAACAGAGCTACAATTAGACTAAAGTAGTTAACAGTTTATTCATTAGCCTTTAATAGAAATGTGGATGGAAACTGACTCCAGGTTATTGTTTGCAGCAAAGTATTTATCAAGTTCAGAACAGTCAGGTGCAACAATTTACGCTACAGAAGTACATAGAGTTTTGCAGAGTTTCAGCTGGCTATGTTAAGAAGTAAAGGATTCATGTGGTCAAGCCACGGCACATCACCAAATCACAAAAGAAATTTATATGCATGTTTTTAAAGACTTCATCATAAGAATGTCACTTTTCTTAGACTAATAACAGAGAACCACTCACTTTCTCTCAAAGGAATATCAGACATACCAATCCTAAACATAAAATATTTGCAATTCTTCAGTGTTCTTTCCATTTTGTACTTTCTAGTCAGAATGGCTTCTTTTAGAACATGAAAAATATCACCAAGAAAGAACAAAAGTAATACCTGTGGGAGAGAACACCAAGTGTGACTCCCCACTGCAGTGATATTGAACAAAATTTCCACTCTTGGCAAACATAGATGTCCTTTGAAATATAAAACAAAGCAAATGTATACACATCTAAAACATGGGTAGGTCTATCTCATTACTCTTCACACACTAGAAAGGAAAATCTTGGCCTCCTGGAACTAAGAGGCAAAACTTCCATTGATTTCCCTGGGGGCCAGGGTTATAAACCCAGTAAGGAAGGAATAAATATTAGCTCCTGGGATGTATCCCTCTCATGTTCCACTTGCTTTCCAGATTTCCTCAGCATGACAGGAGGAGTTTGATACTACAATGCTGCAAGTTAAACTTCAAAACAACAGAAAAGCCCTGATTGAGCATCACTGTGGGCTTCTAACTCTGCTAATACCAGCTAGCTCTCATCTCTATTGCAAGCAGTAAGTGCTTAGAATGTGTAAGGGATATAGCTTTAGACCAGCAGTGTTTCCTGCCATAAAAACAAATAGGAAAAAAGTAACAATAGAAACATAATCAGTATCCATAGTGCCAAGATATTCTGGGGGAAAGAAAGAAAGAGGCAAAATTAAGCTATTGAATTCAGCTATTTATGACGGTAATGGCTTACAGGAAAACTAAGAAACTCTTTTCTTAAGTCTTACTCAGAGAAAACAGTTTTGAGGAGACCAGGAAGGTCTACAAGGTCTGGTCTTTTGATAGTGCTAAATTTCAACCTTATAAGCTATAAGCATTTCAGAAATTATACTACACTATAAAAGTACACAAATGGATTTAAGTTTCCTAAGGAAAGTGAGTCATGCTGCACCACCCTGGTATTTACACTGAAGTGCTAGCTTGTAGAAAAGAACATACACTTTGTTTAAAAATATGACAGGTTACACTCTTTCACTCAATCTAGAACTGTCTCACATTGCTGCAGAGAGGCAATTTTCTGCAGAAGAGTACACAATGTAGCATGGAATATATCAAATAAGGAATTAACAGCTCTTACCAGTTCTCTTGCCAGCAAAGCAAATTAAGATAATTGAGCTCAAAGCATCCATGCAGTCCAAAACCTATAGTTCTCCTGTGCTCCAGCAACAAATTACAACACAATTCCATGCCAGTATGGATACAAGTTCTGAACATGATCCAATGAGCACAACGAGAGTCAATGGAGAAGGCGGACAATGCACCATCACTGAACATATTCAGTAAGATATAGCAAATAGCTATATCTTCAATATAGCTATCACATGAAAATAAGTTTGCAGAAATATTCAAGTGGTGTTCCCTCTCAGTAGACTCCATACTATCCTTAAAATTTTCTCCTAACTAGTTTACTTACTAACCTCCACTTCCCTTATACCCACCAGACTGGAGCACATGTTATATGCTTATTTCCACAAACAGTGATTCAGATTAAAAATGAACTCCTTTCTGCTACGCTTGCATCGCGTTTATGATCATTTTCTGCACGCATTCAAGCAATTTAATTTCACTTGCATAAATGCCAGCAGGATCTAATCAATTCCCATTAAAGTCAGTGATAGTCTTCCAGCTGCCAGTCCCGCATCAATATAAATTGAAATATACACGCTCAAGTATTTGCACTTAAAGTGATATCGTTATGTGTAAAAAGAGAACTGTTGAATTAACCAAGGAGACAAGACACTGTTAACACTTTTAAGAGCTATATTGAAATTAAAATTCTACAAAGGGATGTAAAAATCTCTTTTGCAGATATATTTGTGCCATTCACTGTGGTGAGGACATAACGCTACTGAGATCACAGATGATAACTTATTAGTTTCTACATCTGATATCTGAAGCAGTTGATCATAGTCCCAGGAAAATGTTTCCAAAAGTCATATGGGAGACAAGAATCAAGCTGGACATTTTAAAACAAGGACAGATTTAGATTTAGATTTAGATTTAACAGAAACTCTGTGAGCAGGTGACTTCATTTTGATACATAACCTAATGTTGTATGCATTTCCCAACAAAGTCGAGAGATACTTGCCGAAAGCCTCTGGGTCTTTAACTCCTTACCTACGCTGTATGAAGATTCTAGTGAGCCTGTGACATTAGGGAGCCTCTTACCACTATTAGTGCTCCAGTGATTACAAAAATCTGCCACTTCTACACTTCATTTATAATGGAATACCACATGGGAGATCAAGACAGCTGAATTTTACCACTAGTAGTGGGATATCCAAGAGGACCAAATCATAATGGCCATTAAAAATAAAATAGATTAGATGAAAAAGTAAAGTCCCCAGGAGATTAAACTCTTCAGCAGTCACCAGGAAGCGATCAGCTACGTGCAGGACAGTTTGTGAAGTCTAACAAGACATGACAGTGAATGAAGCAAATGAATTTGAACTGTGGTCATCAAAAATAACATCGAGGAACTCTAACAAAATTAAGAAAGAGAGGTAAAATTATATTACTTCTTTCTAATACTGTCGTCATGATGCTTAACCTTCCTGGATAAACAGTGATTTTCATACTCATTGGAAGACACTACTGACAAATAAAAAAAAGGTCTAGAATACTCTAGCTTCTGTTTAGGCTATGTTAGGAGAAGACAAGCATATCTAACAGCAACCTCAATCAGAACTAGGGAAAGCTCAACTGCAGATACAGGACATTGTAGAAATAATGTTCTTGAATCTTCTCGTCCTGCAAATCAAAGAACTGTCAAGTTTAATTCAAAACAAACCCAAACTGCTATTCACATATAAAAGATATCCTGGTTAGACAGAAATAATAGATTTTTTTCACATTTAACTTTATAAGTTTAAAACTGATGTCTAACCTATTTTCTAGCCTCTCCCTGCTGTAGTGTCTGTGGGGCCACACATACTTTCAGAGATTGGCTCATTCTGTACTCTGCTAGTTATTGGGGTCAGAGGGGGTGCTGATTTACCCAGAGGAGCTGCTTATTTTTATTCCTGATTGCATTGGATAAATTAGCTAAAGTTAGCTAAACAATTAGCTAAGACAAGATGCCTATCGTTTAGTCATCTAAAAGCAAGTAAGGCTACGTGCTGAGTTACTTTACTTTTTAAAGTCCTCATCCTGAGTCACCTTTGTTCATGGTCCATAGTGTCTTCAGGTTTTCATGATACCTCGAACAGATCTAGTATAAAAAATGTTATTTTAAAAAAAAACTTTCTTTTTTCCCAAAGAAATTCAACTGACTTGTAATTTGAAAGAATAAAGCATTGTTGCATTTTGCAATTTTTAATCAAAGAAAGTACTGAGTAATGGTAAGGGTAATTACAGCAAAAGATATATATATCTTATCCTTTGCTACCCTCTTTAAAGGGATAAATAAAAGAACAACACAAGTGAAGAACCAGCAGTTGGGTTTTCTTCCCACCTACACTGTTTTTATTGCAGTATACATAAATAAACAAATAAACTGATTTAAATGAAACTACCCAGTTTACGGAGAAATGAAAGAACCAGAATTCAGTGAAGGTTCAAGAATATTATGAAGCCTTATGAAAGGCAAAGAATAGGACCAAATCCTGGATTCTAATTTGCACAGAGAGACCTTTACATTGATTCAGCATTGTCATTACTTTAGAGTAATAAGACACAGAATGAGGAATAGGGGACATCAAAAATGAATGTCAATGCACAGAGGCCACAGCCAAGAACATGGAGACACTCCAGGACCATGCTGATGAAAGGAGACCTAAATCTCAGGTCTAAATGGCCATTCTGAGATCTCAGGTCTATCAAAATGATATATAAGGGAAAAAACCAAACCAGTGATGAAAATAAAGAAATCTTGAAGCTGCTCTCAGTTGTATTATGATCAGAATAGTTCCAGTCATAACCGAAAGATCACAGAGAAGCTATAAAGTTGAGTAAGACTTGATAATGAGAAAAGCCACATTCTTCATTCAGTCTAAATGTATTCTCTGAATTTTATCAACTTTTGTTTTTTAAATAGGTAATTGTCTCTATAATGAAAAGATGCCCAGATTATGGGGACTGTCATAAGAAAACATAAATTATGCAGTTTAACTAGCACAAAATTACGAAATCTTGCATTATCAGTGTTTCCACAGGCATATAAGTTTAAAAAAAAACACTTCCTCTTAATGAATTTTGGCACTACTTTGGCAAAATAAGTACCAGCTCAAAAATTCTCTGGTTATATGTAATATATTTATGTTATATATTTATGGTATATAGTTAAATTTACTTTTGTCATATTCCTCTGAAATGAAACATCATGTACTTGCACAACAGTGACTGGCAGAATTATCAGGTTAAATACTGAGTAACATCTGAACATTAACTTCTCAGAGCCCAACAGTGCGGTGTCCCTCTTTTTTGGAGGGAAAGGTGAGATGCCTATAGAATTTATTTTTCAGTAACTGCAAAAAGAGAAAGATGAGGGAATAAAGAACAGTGAGAGATGGGAACGGAGCTGTTTTTCCATAAATCCATTATGTAATCATACCACCATTTGCTATAAAGGAAGCACCATATGGCATGATAGTGTGTGCTACAGATGGAGCGTACAGCTACACAGACATCTGGCACCCAGGTATTTGATTTTCTATTTGCCAATAGACAGGGTTTTGGAGTCCATTCACCTACTATTTTTTCACATAAATATTAGTATTTTGTCTATTCTTCAACACACTGCTCCAAGTGCCCTCCCCGCCCCCAACTATTCTATGCAGGCTTTTATATTCTGCTAAATAATAGAAGTGTTGTGAGACTTGTTTTGGCAAGTTTTGATTTTTTATGTTTTTATATTTGTGAATGGTTGGGTTGTTTCTTTCTCATAGACAATTATGTTGAAGAAATGGGTTAATAAAAACACAATTTGCTGTGGTTTATATCCAAGAAAAATCAAAATTAAACATTTTTATTTCAAGTTGGAGATATCTATCATTTTTCTGTTATAATTGATTTCACAGTCTCAGATCATGCTATCAGGGAAATGCTACCACTCTCAATGATTATCTTACAGCTATTGTATTATGTGGTGTTTGCTTATACTATTATAACTGAAGAATAAAATTCCCTACCATTATGATGTTCATTAAAAAAAGCTCTCAGAAATATTTTAGATATCTTGGACATGGTTCTAAAGTTTCAAAGTACTCACTGTTGTAATGAAAAGATGAGCTACAGAGTCCTAAATTAGTTGGAATAATCTTGACATTTGAGGCATCGTGACCCATTATAATCTTTTACCACACATTTGCAGTATTTCATAGAGCTGTCATGAAAAACTGAAGTCCGGTCTAACTTCTGCACTCATCTGTATAGATGTATACAACTGCACAGAGCTGTATATATTCTGCTAGATGATCAAATATGACAAAAAGCAATACCCAGTGAAAATTTGAGAAATTCCTAAATTATGGACTAAACTGAACAACAGACTTTTTTTTTTCAGGCAAAATATCTACAGAGAAGCTATAAAATATTAAGATGTTTGGCTTTGCGCAGAGCATTTTCTCTGCCTTGCCCAGGTTCACCTTTTGCCAGGTAGCTTTTCTTCCATGAACAGACTGCATTTATCCTTGGGCTTTGCTGTAGGATTGTGGTTCTTTCTTGTGAAGATGTTGTCCGCTGTTTATGGCAGATTTGAGTCTGTGGCCTAACAATGCTGTATTAAGAAGACAAAAAAGAGTGTTGGAGACTGTTCTGGAATGAGATGGCTAGACATATGTCAGGCATAGTCAAGGTAGGCAGGTGTCCACTCCTGTATCCGTGAGACCGGTTTGCTTGTTGTCTCAAGTATAATGGAAGTTCCGTTTCTGGAGCACCAGAGCCAAAAATATTTAAAAATTAAGAATCTTTCTCCCTTGGGTGGGGGGGGGGGGTAAGTCTTTGTACACCTAGAGTAGTTTAGGCTCTGGTGTTTATTCTCAAAGAAGCTCCTTTGAATTAATTTGTCTTATCTGATGCAACTCCTTTGAATGTAATTAATGTTCTGTAAGAAGACAAATGTGGATTTGACAGCTTTTCTCACAGGTAGGAAGTTGTATTTGTTGAAGTCAGATGACTACTGTTACCTCAGATGTAATCCCCTACAATTTATTTAGAAGCTGCTCCTTGACTAGTGTGTATGATACACACATAAAAAGCCTGTTAGACTGCTATAGCTGAAGGCTGCATAAATGAATTTCATACCTTTACCATAAACATCTCAGTATTTCCAAGGCCGTCCGATCTTTAACAAATTATAAAGGTTGCTCAATGCTTTCTTTCATAGGATCTTGCTTTGATTAGTTTACAGCTTTTCTAAGTGTGAGGAAAGACTTTTTCGTATTAGAGACATATATGCTTGTGCTGGAGTTTATAAATGAAATTTCAGTAGAATCAGTTCATTCATTTCAAAGGGAATGGAGGCATTGTTGTTGTGCCCATATTAAAAGAATGCTCATACTAAGCACAGAATAAGGACAGAATTTTATAAAAGAAATATAACATTTGATAATGTAATCAAAGATCATATCTTAATTTGCTCATGCCAGTGAGGAGAAATTGACAACTAGAATTCTGGCACTTTCTAAGTTTTGGGGCATTTGACAGTAGAACTTTAAGATTCCTTTAATGTTTGCTTCTATAGGAAAGATTGTATTAATTTAAAATTACATCTTTTTTATCTTAGAGAGATTCAAAGCTTCTTTAAATACTGGTATTTTTTATTGTACGTACAACTTGTTACTATATTTAGTTTACCATTTGATGTTGCAGGTTTGTTCGTATGTTGACTGCTCAAGCAGTAGCAAGTTAAGTGACCAAGACAATGTGCAGATTGGAATAAAAGCAGTTCCTTCTGCAGCTAGACTGCCTTAAGCTGTTTAGAGAACTTCCCCTGTGGCTAGTTCAGATGAATGAGCATAATTAACATGAATCTCCAGTGGCAACGCAGAAGACAAATGGATGATTATGCAGTGAAAACCTCTGCATTTATGTTGAGGCAGGATCTTCTGTTCTGTTTGTCTTTTTTTCTCTCTCTCTTGTTTTGGGGTATTTTGAAAATAAGAAAAAGATTCTTGCTCACAAAATAATAACGAGCCACTGAGTACTATATTAGGCTTATCATTAAATTCAGAGCCTCTGTGAATAGTGAGCTCTAGCTAATCAGATAGAAGCCAAAAGATCAATATCACTCAACGAAATACAATATAGGATCCAGTCTACCACTACTGAGGCAGTAATGGAAAAAACTTGATTCTTCACAACGGCTTCAGAACTGGGATAGGCAGTCTGTATATACTGTGTAAACTGAGATCTTTCATGATAAACATCCAGCGAAAGCAGTAACTGAGTCCAAGTCAACAAATCTAAATCTGTGAAAGCTACATTTTTATTACAGTTGTTATAATCTATAATAAGGATGTGTTTCTGGATTATGTCATGTAAATTAATGTACTCTTTCATGGAATGCACTCTGATGGTAGAAGAGTTACCAGCGTAGTGTTAACTGCTGTGCTAAAAAATAGAGCCCAAGAAAGTCAGTAGAAGCAACACAGCTTCAGAAATTCAGGAACAGCTGACTAAGACCCAGCTTTGCAAAACAGTGCAGATTTGTCTTACATAATGTACAGCGTGTTCTTATAGCCAGCATCCTGATCAGCATCAACTCTTATGCCAAAGTGAATATTTAAATAAAATATTTGCCCATTAGAAGCAAGATAGTTGAATACACTCCGGGCTCTGTTAAGAAGCTGGATCTTGGGGCTATAAAAGGGGAGGTGATAAACAGTGCCATTCAATAGGCCAGTGGAGGTGTTTTGGCTTAGCTTCTTAAAAGTATATAAGTCCTCATTTCTACTGTTTGTACTGTGAGTCAGGCTCATATGAGATATTAAGGAAAGAAAGCTTGATTTTGTATGGGTTCATATCTGTCAAGACCATCCTTCAAAATCCAGCATAATACACTTTATACTGTATTAGTTTTTCCTAAAGCTTTTGCTTGGGCAACAGACTCTCTTTTGGAAAGAGAGAGAATTTGATTTACATACATCATGGACTGTCCTTAAATAATTTTGTTCCAGGGGTTAATTCCTCTCACTGAGCAATGTACCTCATTTCTTCTCTGAATTAACTGATTTTCATTTCCAGTTACTGTATCTTACTCAGTCTCTATTTGCTGGACTGATATACTGTCTGATATTGGCTTTTTCTCTCATGATAGAGAAAGGGACTGT